AATGTTGAATTTTGTCCAATGCTTTTTCAGCATATATAGAGATGATCATATGGTCCTTGTGTTGATTTTATTGATATGGTGTATTACATTTATTGGTTCGCATATGTTGAACCAACCTTGCATCCCTGGGATGAATCCCACTTGATCATGGTGTATAATTTTATGTACGTGTTGCTGTATTCTATTAGCTAGTATTTTATTGAGAATTTTTGTATCTATATTCATCAGAGATATTGGCCTGTAGTTTTCTTTATATGTTGTATCTTTGCCTGGTTTTGATATCAGGGTGATGTTTGCCTCATAGAATGAGTTTGGGAGAATGGCCTCTGTTTCAATTTTTTGGAATAGTTTGTAGAGAATTGGTATTAATTCATTTTTAAAGATGTGGTAGAATTCAGCAGTGAAGCCATCTGGTCCCAGGCTTTTCTTTGTTGGGAGACTGCTGATTACAACTTCCATCTCTTTGATTGTTACTCAACTGTTCAGAATTTCTATGTCTTTTTGGTTCAGTCTTGGTAGTTTATGTGTGGCCAGAAATTTAACCATTTCCTACATATTTTCAAATTTATTGGTGTATAGTTGTTTATAGAAATCTCTGATGAATCTTTGTATTTCTAAGGTATCAGTTGTAATCTCTCCTTTTTCATTTCTTATTTTTGTTATTTGTGTCTTCTCTTTTCTTTTTTAGTTAGCCTAGCTAATGGCTTGTCAATTTTATTTATCTTCTCAAAAAACCAAATTTTTGTTTTGTTGATCTTTTGTATCATTTTTGGGGTTTCTATTTCATTTAGTTCTGCTCTAATCTTAATTATTTATTTCTGTCTACTAACTTTGGTTTTGGATTTTTCTTGTTTTTCTAGTTCTTTTTTTTTTTGTCTTTTTGTCTTTTTTCGTGACCAGCAACGGATCGCAACCCTCAGTGTCGCACCTGCCCCTTGCTCAGCCAGTGAGCGGCTGGCCTGTATGTGGGATCCGAACCCTTGGCGGGAGTGTCGCCACGCTCCCAAGTGGCGCACTGTAGCAGTGCGCCACCGGGCCGGCCCCTTGTTTTTCTAGTTCTTTAAGGTAAATAATTAGGGTGTTTACTTGCCATCTTTCCATTCTTCTGAGGTAAGCATTTATTGTGATAAACTTCCCCCTTAGTATTGCTTTTGCAGTATCCCACAGGTTTTGGTATGATGTGTCATTATTTT